AGAGGATGGGCACTGACAAGTATGAGAATAATTTCGGCATTTACAGTGATCTATGGTGGCTTATATTTACTCTGTACCCACATGTCCATGAAATGGATGTAATCAGCCCCGCAGCGTTATGAGTTCTGTGCAGATGACATATATTTGTTGGTCAGCTTAAAATGAAAAAGAAAAGTTTTGTACCTTTTAACTAAAAAGATTTAGCATAGAAATGCAATTGCAATAGTGTTGCAGTTATATGACTTGTGTCAAGTGACAGTGAAGTGTTTTGATGTCTCACACATGTTAGAAGACCCCAAAAATGAAGGTGTCTAATTCGTGTATATAATTAGCGTGTTTTACCTTGTTATCTCCTCCGCCCACTCGTTTTTCCAGTCTGAAATTGCAGTTGTGTGTATTCCTTCTGCATTAAATTTGACTTGTGCCTTCAATGATGTATATGTATATCTTCTCTAAACATTCGGCACTAGTTGACTATTAGGCTGTGGTTTGTGTAATGCCGCTCCTTGATAACCTCTGATGTAGGGAAGTCAATTTATGCCCATACCCATTTACCCACCTGGCCCACCCATCATTTGGCCCGCCCAAAACCTACCCATTTAATTAAATGGGCCTAATCGGGCGGATCCATTTTACATTCTATTAAACAGGCGCTAAATGGGCATTCTATACCCGTCCGCCCACCCGTCCTTATTCCCAAAACAAAACCCTAAATCTCTAAATTAAACGGGCACTAAAAGAGCCCCCAAAAAGTTTGCAAAAACCCCCCAAAATATTTACAAAAAGACCCCTAAAAGTTTGCAAAAACCCCCAAAAGTTTGTAAAAAGCCCCCTAAAAATTCGCAAAAAACCCCCAAAAAGTTTGCAAAAGAGCGGCCACTATACGGTGAATTGCTTGGATCTTGAACTGATCTATATCTAATTATTAGCGTAAGATTGTGATTGAGCGATCTGAAGTTGGAAATTTTGATATTGAGCTCGGATTCTGGCCTCATGACCTTGACTCTAAAGCGTGCTCTTTCGAATTTGAAGTGTTCCCTATCCAATCTGAACACTGCTAGGCTAGGTGATTTGTTATTTTTAGATTGGGGTTGAACCTGGGTGGGAACTTTAATTTCGGATTGAAGCAAGCCCTACTCTGAAAATTTGATTTTGAGCTTGAATTCTAGCCATTTGTGCCCTTGAATGATAAAATGAATCTTCAGCTTACACTGCACAAAATGGGCTATGGTCTCGTAGCTGTCCACGGTAGGCTTAGTAATTTGTTATTATTAGATTGGGATTGAATCTGTGTTGGAATTTAATTTGCGATTAAGCCAGCTGTATTTTGAAATTTTGATTTTTGAGCTTAAAGTACTAGCTATTTCTGCCCCCGGATCATCACAAATTGACTATGATCTTATTTTGCAAAGAGCCCCCAAAAAGTTTGTGAAAAGCCCCCAAAAAGTTTGCAAACCCCCCTAGAATTTTGCGAAAACCCCCCAATAATTTGCGAACCCACCCCCCCTAAAAATTTAAAAAAAAACACCCCAAAAGTATTATATACACACCTACTATAGTTAAATGGGTAAATGGGTAGTCCGTTTATTAAATGGGCGGGCAAAAACCCGTCCATTTCGAAAATGTTAAATGAGCCATAAATGGGTAAATGGGTAAATGGGCAAAACATGCCCGCCCATTTATGACCCGCCCATTTAATACCCAAACCCACCCATTTAACACCCCTACTCTGATGTCCATTAAGTTATATGTTTTTCTCTATGTTTGTTTGAATACTATATAATACAATTTAATTTCTTCCTACTTTGCAGGGACGTCCAAAGGGTGTAACCCCGAAGTACAGCTTGAAGCCCCTTGTACCTAGGCTGTCTGAACTTCTTGGTGTCAATGTATGCCTCACATCTCAATAATCTATTTTCATCTGTGGACCGGGACCCTTTTTTCATAGCTAGCACACTAAATTTTTACGGCGCATGATATAGGTTGGGATGGCCAATGACTGTATTGGGGAGGAAGTCGAGAAAATGGTAGCTGCACTACCAGAAGGAGGGGTTCTACTTCTCGAAAACGTTAGGTTCTACAAGGAAGAAGAGAAGAATGATCCAGAATTTGCAAAGAAGCTAGCATCTCTTGCTGACCTCTATGTAAATGATGCCTTTGGCAGCGCTCACCGAGCCCATGCTTCAACTGAAGGGGTGACCAAGTTCTTGAAACCAGCTGTTGCCGGCTTCCTCATGCAGAAGGTCAGATGAAATTTTATCACGTCTCTCCAGCTTTTTTAATTTAGACTTGAGAAAGAAAATTTGGAGAAAAAGAAAAATGAAACTTATGGTTTTTGAGGAATCTATTTGTCCTCTGATGCATACTCCATAGTCTGTTATCTCTCAGCTTTCCCCTTGAACTGTTTATTTATGTTCCCTTTTGAAGTACGAACACCAATTTTAACTGATACTTCTTCAGGCGTGTTTATTGTATGCATTTGGTCGGCAACATTTTCCATTTTTTTACTAAATTTGCAATTTTGTTTCAGGAGCTTGATTACCTTGTTGGCGCTGTATCAAACCCCAAGAGGCCTTTTGCTGCGATTGTTGGTGGTTCCAAGGTATCATCAAAGATTGGGGTGATAGAATCACTGCTGGAAAAGGTGAACGTACTTCTGCTTGGAGGAGGAATGATATTTACGTTTTACAAAGCACAGGGGCACTCTGTTGGCTCCTCCCTTGTGGAAGAAGACAAGCTTGATCTCGCTACAGCACTCCTTGAGAAGGCAAAGTCTAAAGGAGTATCACTCTTGTTGCCCACTGATGTTGTTATTGCCGACAAGTTTGCTGCTGATGCAAACAGCAAGGTCTGTCCCCTCTGCTACTGTTTGAACTGAGACTTAACTATTATATTAAAAATAGATATTCGAGTCTGTCTATGAGAAAATGTAACATATATGTCGTTTTCGTATTTTAATTAGCGACATTAAGGATCGCTTGATGCGGATTTTTGGATCAGATGGCGATATTATTGTCTAGGGCTGTTGTAGGATCTGACACAATTTTCACAGCACTGCTAAAAACTTGTTCTTTGTTTCCTTTCAGATCGTACCAGCATCTGCAATCCCTGATGGTTGGATGGGCCTTGACATTGGACCTGACTCCATCAAGACATTCAGTGAATCCTTGGACAGTACCAAGACCATTATCTGGAATGGACCCATGGGAGTCTTCGAATTCGAGAAGTTTGCAGCGGGAACAGAGGTAAAGCTTTAACAATACGGCGGATGTTAGTATATATGGATACGTTTCATCAGAATTACTTGGAAATTAACCAAGCAAACTAAATGAGTGTGCTAATATTTTCTTGTCACTCCAGGCCATTGCAAAGAAGTTGGCTGAGCTGAGCGGCAAGGGTGTGACAACCATCATAGGAGGTGGTGACTCTGTTGCAGCTGTTGAGAAAGTGGGGCTCGCTGACAAGATGAGCCACATCTCCACCGGTGGTGGTGCCAGCTTGGAGCTGCTTGAAGGCAAAACTCTTCCCGGTGTTCTTGCGCTTGACGATGCTTGAATCAATAAAGATCTCTCATGGCTTGTTTTATCATGTACTCCCCTTAAGGTATGCTGGGTTTTTGTTAAGAGAGGAGCAGACTCTGATAGTTTTGTCCGAAATAACTTCCGAGTGGTGGATCCTTGACGTCTTTTATAGGTGTGTTAATAAGTTTTGATGCTTTGAGATGCTTAGACAGTTAAACTGCGAGGAGCAGTTTTGTAAGCTTCCTTATGATTATGTCAGATAAGTTTTGGTTGCTCCTACCTAATATGTTGATGAATGACGTGGAATTGGATTTCCGATGGCCTTTATTTTGTTCCTTAAGTTGGGAAAGGCTATTTATTAAATCTTTATGCGGTTTCAAAGCCATGGAGGTAAAGCGGTAAGCTTATAAATTTTCAGTTGAAATGATCGTATATGACCCGCGTTACACGTAATCACATACTCTAATTATAAGTCGCACATGATCTAATTATTATAAGTTAAATTCAACATGAAACCTTTTCATAAATTTTAATATTCCAACAACATCAGAAAATAACTGAACTCTTCCGAACATTTAATTTACCTGCTTAGATTCTTAACTCTCTTCCATATAAAATGTCATTCTACCCTCTTAGTATATTCTCTATAACATATTTATGGACAATTCATAAAAATAAAGAAATACATGAATGGAATCCACTACACGAGTAAAGATCGTATTGAGACCTCTCACACATGTAACAAACATTCTCCGCAGCCCTCTCAGTGTTGCTCAAAGAACACTGCATCATGTGGGGTTCTAATATGATCCGTAGTCCATCTACTATTGCACAAACTGCAACAACAAGTTCATATTTAAGTTTTTTTTTAACATGAAATTCAATATTCCACCAATATCTCAAAAAAAATACAATTTTACAAAATAACGTTGGATTGTCTCTCCTTACTCTTTTGCTCAAAGCTACTTGCATTTATAACACTATTTATAACATGTCAATGGTGATTTCCATTTTCTTACCCTATCGGCCTATCCTTTTAAATGAACCCAACACACTTAAATTATGATCCAAAAGATCCAAACACACCCAGCACGTGTCGAAAGGCGAGGTCTATCCAAAGCAATCAAAACCAAACCCTTTTCCTTTCCTTTACTATATTTATTTTGTGCATATTTAATAACATGAATCACGTCTACTAGATACTTCCTTTCCTCTTCGCCCAAAATATTAAACCGCTCCTTTTTCAAGACAACCAAGTCCAGACGAGACTAGCAAAACAGGGAGGAGGAGAAAAAACAAGCGTGTGTTAACCACCCAAAAAAAATTAATGGTGACTTTAAACTAAATTAGTTTTGTTTTGAATCTAGAGCAAGTGGTCTGAAACAAAACCAGTTTAAAAGCCAAACTTGACCTTTAAAAAACAGGACCGGTATTAACCTAATTTTACTCAAATAGATATTTTCTCAAAATGATACCAGATTTGGATTTGACTCCTCCGCACTATAAAAAAAATAGCGAAGATTGTGATTTGCAATCGTTGATTTATTTAGTGGGTGGTTGTGATTTGTCATTGAGTGTAAATTAGGAAAATAGTGTGGAATAAGGTAAGTACTACATAAAGAGTGAATCACAATCACATACTAAACAAATCAATAATTACGATATTGCAATCATCTCTTCACAATTTTTTTAATGGAGTGGATCCAAATCCACCGTACATGGAACTAGTTTTATTTTGAGAAGTTACCGACACACCTCACTAATGAGCCACCGCTAATAGCCGGAGCAGCAAGCCCAACTTCTGCTCCTCTCTTTCTTCGCCTTCCAATTCTCCAAAATCCGAATCCTTAAGCCCCAGATGCGCCGATTCCTCGTCAATGATTATGCCATTATGGGGTGGCCTGGACGATTTACATATGTGTGATAAATTTATTTGTCTGTATTGCTGTTAATTTTGTATGGTTTGTTTTCAATTACAGAATATCGGTGTTGATGGCTAATATCAGACAGTCAATGAGATCGAGTTATTTGGTTGACAGAGGTCCTCTAACCTTCCGAATGTTCAGTTCTGAAATGGGTTGTTCTTCCCTGAACAGGTAGAAAATTATAAGAGGACGGGGTTGGGTTTCCCGGTTGTTCCTCTGACAATCAAGTCAGTAATTTGCTTGAGTTGAGAAGTAACTGAACTATAGAAGTTCATAAGCCTAGTGGGTAGAGATCAAGATCTTACTTTATGCTGAAAATAGTAACCATATTTATAGTGGTAGTAGAGGGGTAGGATGGTAACTTCGACCGAATATGGGTTGGCAGCCAAGTCAGCATTTGCTTTACAGGTGTCGGCCGGCGAGTAGAGGGGGTCACTTCCACATTTATTGTTAAAGTGACTGGGGGCGTGCGATGCCGATATGGTTCGATGTGTCATAAAGACTATTAGGGGCAGAGAAATGATGACGCCGATTATGCATTTAATGACATTTATTGTGAGGTGATAAGGTGTTAGAGCACGGGAGGGGCTCGAGGTAGTCGTCACCTTTCTACTCGTTCGGTAGAAGGTCAAGAAGTACCACATTTTGAGTCGCCTTCGTGAGATGCCGGTCGAATGGTCGGTCAAGTAGGTTAATCAAGAAGTAGAACTAGCCAGAGGTCAACATGTAACGAGTTTCTAGTCGCCCTCGCGAGATGTCGGCATGTCGAGTCGTCCGAGCTAGGTCTTTGGTTATATTGAAGTGAATAACTGGCTCGATTACGCATAATGTGGGATAATTGTCTGCTATTGATTAGATATTACTATTTAACACTAAAACGGCTATAACAACCGGGTATATGTTTCATGAAATTTGACATTTATATGATTAGTTTAAGAAACTCATGTGCTAGTTTTGAGTTTCAAAAGTTTAAATATCTCATGATTTATAAAGATATTCATCTTTTTGGTTGATTTCATCATGCAGTAATTAAATTAATTAATTCATTGATGGAAAAAGTTGCAAGTAACTAGAAAGTAGGAAATAACATTTTGAGTTGGATTCGAAATCATCATCGTTACTAAATCATGATACTGATTCAACTAAAGAAAGATTCAGAATTGTTATATATCGAAAGTAGTTGTATTTGATTCAGTAGATAGTCAATTAGGAAGATTCCCATACAATATACTCCTCTATACTTAAAAAGGATCTAAAGAATCATTGTTCATACTACAGTAAATTACTGTAGCAAAACTGTGAATCCCCTAGCTCCTCTGCATTTGAAGTTACTGTTTATACTACAGTAATTTAGTGTATTATAAATAGTAATACAAATCTACTCCTCCATACTTGAAGTTACTATTTATGCTACAGTACTGTATCATAAACAGTAAAGCAAATTAAATGTATTAAAACTTGGATCATCATTTAAATATAGAGGAGTAGATATGATTTCTAAATCAAATGTATTAAACCTTGGATCTTTCTTTAAGTATAGAGGAATAGATATGATTTCTAATTTTAAAGATACAATAATTAAATCAAATGTATTAAAACTTAGAGGGAGTCAAGTTCAAAATACAGTGTTTAAAAAAATAGTGGGTCGGGTGCACACTAGTTATTATTAGGGAATTTCAAAAAACACGCGTGAAAAAAGCAGTAGAATTAGAATCATCCCACACTCAATAAATCACCCTAAATTTATAGGATCGAATCAAAAATGAAACTAAAATTAAATAAAGAAAAGGAATGAATCTAGAATTTTCAATGTTAATAAAAAAATAAAAAATTGCACTGAAACACTCCAGTTTGCAGTGCCGACGGTAGCTCTGGACAATATTTTGTTGGGTGGCACTAGGGGCACACCACCAACCACAACCTCAACCACACCCCCTCTCTCATTTGCTACAGTGCACCGGGCCCACATGGGATTTTAAATTTTTAAAATCCCATGGGGGGCCCGGTGCACTGTAGCAAATGAGAGAAGGGGTGTGGTTGAGGTTGTGGTTGGGGGGGTGCCCCTATCATTTTTCTATTTTGTTTGGTGAAGTTATTCATTAGTGATTGCTTTAAAAATGAGATGAAATGCGCCGGTAACAATAAACTGTAAAATGTTGGGTGGCACTAGGGGCACACCACCAACCACAACCTCAACCACACCCCCTCTCTCATTTGCTACAGTGCACCGGGCCCACATGGGATTTTAAATTTTTAAAATCCCATGGGGGGCCCGGTGCACTGTAGCAAATGAGAGAAGGGGTGTGGTTGAGGTTGTGGTTGGGGGTGTGCCCCTATCATTTTTCTATTTTGTTTGGTGAAGTTATTCATTAGTGATTGCTTTAAAAATGAGATGAAATGCGCCGGTAACAATAAACTGTAAAAGAAAGTTTTCTCTTGAACAGATTTCTAGTTTGAGAACTGTCAGCTTTAATGCGTCATTGCGATGCAAAGTATTGAAATCCATCCGATAGAAATAACATGGACCTTCCTATATATACCCTCCTCAATCGAGTCTATAAATTTTTGTAGGGATCGAATGAGCCGTCGCCTTAAGTTCGATATATATTTAAAATTTTATTTGAAATGCTCAGGCTAAAGTATTAAAATCTTAACTGTTCTATACTAATGATTTGCAATATTTTGAACTTCTTCAGCGAACGCAAGTAATTATTTCACAGACCGTGGACATAAATGCGCACAGTATTTTTCTATGCAGTAGTACCATTTGTACGCAATACCGATAGTTTTCTTTAATTTTTTCCCCCGACCTTTCATTGTGTTAATTTGTTACCGACAATTGATCTGGATGTATAAAAAGATATAAAACTCAAACAGGGACATTGCACCTTGAAAAAAATTAACTCAAAGAGTTAAATTGGCCAATCAAATGAACAGGAGAAAACGAGAAAAGAAAAGATTGAATTAAAGACACCGTTTACATCAACAAAAAATAAACAAGAAAAGCGGGGGAAAAGGCCCCATGCACAGCTGCTCTGCAAGAGTCTTTAAAGTGACCGCCCAAATTCACTTGATGGAGTGAGTTGAAGAAAAGTATGTTGGAAATTTATCAAATAATTAAGATTACAGCATGAAATAAATCCGAATAAAATAAATAATTAAATATGGCCTGATCGGGAGCAGTCATGTATTCACTGTCCTAGAAGATTGAGGACTCGTCTATCGCCCTGGCGCAGATGATCCTCTCTCCCTTAGCGGTAAAAACCCCTGGAATCGGTCGGCCTCTATACTCGAGCGAGAGTACAGAGCTTCTGCTCAGATGAAGAAAGTTATCCAAAAAGAAAACCAATACTA